AACATCTGTGCCCTCTTCTCATCTTTCCTCACAAGGATATTGGCTAAACAAATTCTACAAATGTGTGTAAATCATGCCTTAGAAGAAGCAATATAAATAAGTATATATCATTAAGGTGAGACTTAAGGGCCTTAAATTTTGTGGCTGATTCTCCTACAAATGAATTAGGTGAAGCCAGGCGGGAGGTTCAACCTATTTGTGCTTTGTTTTCCGCACCTGCAGAGTCAGAGCACAGTACTAATTTACTTGATGTGGGTACTGTAAGGAGTGATTAAATTGATGCCTAAGTACTTTGAAAAGCTTGTGAAGCACTTGAAAGCAAAGCCCAAGTGCTAAATGAGAAGACTCACTCAGGATTCTCCTCCCCTTCTCTATCAGCTCCTGTACTTTTTTTTGTCAACAACAAATGTGTCCATGAATCCACTCAATTAGTCTCAAGTAAAAAGGCTGTAATCATTGGCAGGCAGGCACACGGGAGGCTTCTTCCCAGTGTATTTAGCCAGCTGGGCATTGAGAAAGAAGGGAAATGGAATTATTCTTCCTTTGAAAATTGCATCTGGCACCTTTTCCAATCCCTAGTCAAAGGGGCCCTGTTTATATTTCAATTGATGTGCACAGGTCAACACTTGTAAGCATTAGTTTGCTGACATCTCAGGGCTGCTGCTTTCCCCTTTAATTATGGAAGGCAGAATTGATGTTAAAATGTACCTTGGCCATCACCTTCGTAGTCAAATGAAAGAAGGGAGTCATTCAGTATATGACTGCATTAAATTTTTTTCTTTTCTCCTTGAACAATATGTTCTTTCCCCCCCTCCCCCCAATTATGCCTTTGATCTTGATGAAAAAAAAGGCAAAAACAGCTTCCAGGAAAGAATTAATAATGGCAATAAATTTAGTGGGTATGAAAAAAATAGGATTTCTTAAATAAATGGATTCAGAGCCAGAAGACCTTGCCCCTCTCTGCTACAGTGTACCTGTGTGACCTTGGACAAGTCATTTAACTTTCCATTTCCTCATATGCAAAATGAGGGCATTAGAGTAGGTGAGCAAATGAAGGGCTTGTGGGCCATTGTATTTTGAAATACAAAAACAATTCTTAGATGTACAAAAATCAAGTGGTGGGCCACTCAGGCAATAGTTTGCCAACCCCTGAACTAGACAACTTCTAAGGTCCTTTCCAATACCAAATCTTTTTATCTTTACAATTATTGAGCCAAATAAGCATTCAATACAAAATTTAACCTTGACAAAATAATGCTAAGATGAAGATCCATTAGAGGCCTGTGCTCTGTGGAATCATCGGCTACCTTGATTATCTTATCCAATTATCCAATCATCATCTCCAGTTGTCCTGCTCTATATCTTGCCACTGGACCCAGATGGCTCCAGAGGATAAAGTGAGGCTGGTGTCTTTGTACAGCCCTCCCTCGCTTAAATCCAATTCACTTACATCACCTCCCTGATATCATGATCCTCTTTGAGAACAAAGGACAAACAATAACAATTGAGTACCTACTAGGTGCATATGCTCCTAGTAGGTCAGCCAGAAATAGGTTAAAATGCTGAGTTTTATCCTTCCTATATAGATACCATTTTTGAGAGGGGGAAATAATTAATTTTCTTAGTATGCTAAACTGTTGTTGTTGTTGTTCAATCCTATATGACTCTTTATGACCTCATAGACCATGACACTCAAGGACCATATTGTTCATGGGATTTTCTTGGCAAAGATACTGGAGTAGTTTGCTATTTCCTTCTCCAGTGGATTAAGGTAAGCTGAGGTTAAGTGACTTGCCCAAGGTCACACAACTAGTAAGCTATTTAGCTGCCTCCTTAGCAAGTGACTTGCTCAAGGTCACCTGGCTAGTAAGTGTCTGAGATCACATTTGAACTCAGATCTTCCTGACTCCAGGACCAGTGCTCTATCCATTTAATCATCTAGCTGCTTAACTACCAATTAGCAAATTACTATTATAAAATAGTAACTAAAATCATAGTATAGCAGGTTCAGGGCTTGGAGGGTCCACAGAGATCATCAAGGGAGTTAGGGAGGGAATAAAGCCACTCATTTTATAGGTGAGGAAAGTAAAGCCCTGTGAAATTAAATGACTTCCCAATGTCATAAAGGTAATAAATAGGAGACTCATTGGCAATGGATCAGCAGTCACTTCTACTAGCTCCTGGTATGTAGTTTATATAGGTCTTATAATTAGGACTTGTTGACAAAATGGATTAAATCATCAATATTATTCAGAGGGGTCACATTCTAGATTTTGGCTGCAGCATACATGCTAAAAACTGGAAAGTTCTATACAATGGAATTCCTGATGTAATTCGGTATAAATCTCTAAGTAAATAGGCTACAAAGTCTGCAGAGAAGTGATAGGTATTACAAAATAAAGTTTGATTAACCACATACACGTCTTGAGAACAAGGGACTGTGTCAAATACTTCTCTGTATTCATCCACAGTGTCAGGTATTTTCACTCTCTCTAATTTATTTCACAGGTTATTGATTCATATGGCTTCCTCTCTCATCATCATACAGATAGTTTGATAATCTGTCCCCTTGGTCTCAACCTTACTTTTATACTCATGTGCACTAGATATTTCCATTTGAAAGACCTAAAGTCATTTCAAATGCAAACTGATCATCTCCTCCCTACCCTCCACATGTTTCTTCCTTTAAAATTTCCTAACTCTGTCAATGACAACCCATCATCTCTTTCCTTTAATGCTAATAAGTCTCCCTCTCAAATTTCTTCTTTTGGAGGAGATGAATTGAATGACATTGAAGAAAGGATTTCACAGCAACATTCTTATTTTAGTGAAAAACATTTTCCAACCATTTCTTTCCCCAGATAATGATTGATTAATGAATGTTGACAGTCAGCCCATTCAACATGTATTAGAACCAGAGGTTTAATCCTAATGGCCTTTTGCAATCAAATGAGCATCAAGTTTGGAGATGTCTTTTTTTTTTTGACATGAGATATTAACAAGCCACCCTAAACATATTTTGTTCCATGAAACTCAAAGCAGTTAGTCATTTAAAATCCTTATAATGTTTCTATTAACGTTGGTGAGGATTTAGAAATTAAAATTAATTAAAACACCTTTTTTGGTGATTTATTTCCTAATTCCCTCCAAAATATGTGCCAAAATGGCAATATTTGAAATTACCATATGGCATATTTAAAATTCCTCCCCCCAAGTGAACTGAAAATAATTTTGTTTTGAGAATTGCATCGACAAGCCTTGATAGTTAGAGATATCCAGGATGTCTTAAAACCAGGCTTAAAGTCTAAATCCGTCTCTGAAGTGCCAAGTATAACTTAGGGGTTTAGTGTAATGGTAAAAATATTGGGCTTGAGGCCAGAGGATCCTGGTTCAAATTCTACCTTTGCTATGCTTTATCTATTTGACCTTAGAAAGTCATCTAATTTCTTTGGGCCTCAGCTTCTGTGGGGGGGTTGGACTAGTCCAATCATTCGATTTAGAAAGCACCTCCTACAGTTCCTGGTAATACAAAGACAAAAAAATGAAATGATCCCAATTCTCAAAGTCCCTTCCAGCTTTTAACCCATGACCTCATGACTGATTATGATGATTCAACACATTTCAATTCAGCAAATATTTATTAAATGCTTAGTATGTACCAAAGACTGAAAATTTTGCTAACTTCTGGAACAGATAGAAATGATAGATAAGAAGATACAGCTTCCTCCGTCAAATTGCCTGTAACTTAGTATACAGAAATAAACATCATGCAAAATAAAGCATAATAAATATATGAGAAGAAAAAACAACAATGTGCTATGTGAGGACCAAATAAAGAAAGATTAATTTCTGATTGGGGGAATCTGGGAAGGCTTAATTGGAGAGGTGGTATTTGACCAGGCTCTTAAAAAGAAGTAGGCAGAAATAGGGGCCATAGCACAGTGCCTGGAACATAATTAGTGTTTAATGAGTGCTTGCTTGCTTGATTAATGGAGGTGAGGATAGATATTTCAGGCTAGTGGGGACATGGGGAATGTTTTAACAATGCTAATTGGCTACGGCTTAGAGGATATAGTATAGAGTTGTAAGTAGCCTGTTTTGTGCTCTGGTCAAGGTAAGGTGTGGGAGATGCTCACCTGGGATGCTGCTGGGCTTCTAGGGAATAGAAACTCACCACTAGGACACCATGAGGTTAAATTACTAAAAGACTGAAAGACTTCTGGGGAGTGAGGGGCAGAAGGGGCAGAAGAATGGTTGGGAGCTAGAAAGGGTAGGAAATGTCTTTGGCTGGGGGTGGGGAATGGAGAGAGAACTGCAGGGACCTGGGAGAGAAGAAACTCATAATATTGCTACCTGTGCCCTCTGAATTTCCCATCTGTACAGAGGATGAATTGTTTCACAGTTCAAAGCTACCACTTGGAAAGTCATGAAGCTGGTGATCAGGGAAGCATATCTTCAGATTTTGCATCCAGTACCCTTTAAGTTCTATACCCTGGGGTAAGCCCTGATGGTTCCATGCTAGTTATGGCTCAGATGTTGTGGGATAAGGTGAAATATATCTGGAAAGATAGTTTGGTAACAGACTGTAGCAGGCTTTAAATGTCAGGCTAAAGAGTTTGGACTTTTTCGGAAAGTAGTCAGGAACCACTGGAGGATCTCGAGCAGAAGACTAACATGACCTTATCTGTCATATCTGTATATTATAAGACAAAAATCCTGAATCAGTAGTTCATTAACTATGTGTGACAGAAAGCTTGGCCACTTCCATTGACAAAGAAGAAACAATGTGGACAGTGAGCAGGTATGGTCTTCTTTGAAGATAGGATTTCCCAGTGACATCCATCTCCAACAGAAAACACTATGCTGAAAACAAACCTTGCACATCCTTCCACTTCAGTGGAATAGGGATGCAAACATTTCCACTACTTCCTTAGAATGATGACGTGTGTTTTCCACTATGGAGCCTTAGAGAATAGACTGCCCTTTGCAATGACACTCACCTGTTTCTGTTGACAATCTTGTCCTTGTGCTTCTTTTCTCAAAAATCATGCTGAGGGATTTCCCTTGTAACAAAGGCAAATACTGAAAAACAACGATAGGAAGTGAGCTGCAAAACTATCAGCTGTATTTTAAACACTGCTTTATAGAGTGAAGCAGTCAGAATAAACAATCTTTAAGTGATTAAACTAATTCTGCTTATTCTCCCTTCATAATACGTCCAAAACATTGAGAAAATGGGAGTTTTAAAATTATTTCACATCTTATAGAAAAAGTGGTATATCAAGGAAGAAGATGAAAGGCAGCAGCATCCTCCTCAGCCCACCCCAGCCCCGCCGCTAAAATCCTCAGCCATTTAAAGAAATTTTACTTGTTTTTTCCCAGGCTAGCTTTAAGGATTAAAAATCATTCCATTTTTTCTTGATATTACAATGATGATTTACATTTTATGAAGAACCAGGATGTATCCTTCCCCATCCTACTGCTTCCTGGAGCTTCCCTCAAAAGGTGATGTGACTTAAGGGACAAATATTTATTAGCCTTCTCTACAGCTCAGGAAAGAAGCTGGGACTCTTATTTATGTCAATGTCTAAACCACAAAGTTTCAGATAAACTTTGTATAAACCTTAACTTGGGATAGGAAAGGGCTTGTTTCCATATGTTTGGAAAGAACTGCTTGGAAGATAGGAGGGGCTCCTCCTCCTTCCTGCCCTGTTTATAGATAATGGAGCAAAAGCCTCTGCTTCTTCTTTTCTCTTTTTCCCTTTCTTTTTTCCTTTTAAGACCCTTGCTGGGGAAGACTACCCAAGAGGACTAGTTAGTCTACTATTCTGCTATTTATAAAAAGGTTAAGGTGTCGATTCCAACAATTGCCAAGGTTCTCATCTACAAGAGAAACCCAACCCACCAAAGTTTCCTCTGTTTCTGGTCTCTGAAACTTGAATTAAAAGATTTAAGAGTGAATACTTTCTCTCTTCTTTCTGTCTCTTTCTCTTTCTCTCATATGTGTATATGTTGTTTAACGGTATTGCATATTGCCATTGCACTTTTTTTTCATCCAGGCACCCTTTAAAAAAAAAAGTTTTAAACACTTGGAATTAATTAGTCTTGGAAGAGATAATGCTTTTGCTATTATTTAGACCAGGGATTCTTAACATTTCTGGTGTCATGGACCCCTTTGGCAGTCTGATATAAGCTATAGGTCCCTTTTTTAGAATGTTTGTTACCTACATTCATACTTGAAGGAGATGCTAATTTTTAGTTAGAGGTTAGAGAGATATGATTCCTTGCCACCCCACCCCCACCTTCTATCCAAGTTCACAGACTTCCCAAAATCTCTCCATGGAGTCGTTTTTGGAGCCCCTGGATTCCAAATCAGAAAGCCCTGACCATAGACTGGCTGTCAAGCCACAGTTGTGACTAAAGAATGCTTAAAATGCTTTTCAAACATAAAGGGCTATGTAAATTCTAAATAAAGATAATTGTTAAACACCTAGTTCCATTTCTTCCCACTACCTCTTCTTTCTTCTTGGATACATGTGGCAATTCTGGCCTTTTTTTTTTTTCAGCTTTCTTCTGAATTAATTATATGTGTAATCAGTATCAGAATATAATAATGATAATAACAATAATACTAATAACTACTCACATAAATGTAGTGGGAATTTTAGAGTGAATGGATTGGACTAGATGGCTGCCTTTGATCATACCAATTGTGACATTCAGTGTTTTTACTTATTAAACACTGAGTTATTGAGTTCAATTGTTTCTGATTCTCCCTTATCTAGTCTGTTATATTGATCACTCTTCCTATTTTTTAACCAGTACCAGATGGTTTTGATAACTATTGTGTTATAACATAGTTTGAGGTCTGGAAATACTAATCTTCCTTTGTCCCTACCTCTTTTCATTCCTTTTGATATTCTCTATCTTTTGTTTTTTCCAAATAAATTATTCTTTTATATCAAATTCTATAAAGTATCCCCTCAATAATTTAGTTGGTAAAACATTAAAAGTGCAAATTAACTTTGGTAGTATTGTCTTTTTTTATTATATTGGCAAGGCTGAGCCTTGAACACTAAACATTCCTTCGGTTATTCAAGTTGTTTTTTATTTCTTTAAGGAGGACTTTGTAATTTAATCTATGCAGGTCTTTTGTGTGCTTTAGTAGATCCATTCCCAGATACTTTATGCATATTGTAGCTATTTGGAAGGGGAATTTCCTTTTCTATTATTTCTTCGAGGGTTTTGTTATTATTTAGAAGCATGGTTGATTTTTGAGGGCTTATTTTATAGCTTATAACTTTACAAAAACTATTATCTCCATTAGTATGTTTGCTTATTCCCTAGGATTTTATAAGTATACTGAGTAAATAAGGATAGTTTTATCTCCTCTTTACATATCTCTATGCCTTTAGTTTATTTCTCTTCTCTTACTGTTGTTGCCAGTATTTCTAGAACTATATCAAATAATAATGGACAAAATGTGTATCATTACTCTGCTCCCATATTTATTGGAAATGGATCTACTGTATCCCCACCGTGCATGAGGCTTGCTTTTGGTTTTAATTGGTGTTTTTTATGATGTTAAAAAGATCTCTCTATGCCTATATTTTGTAGGCTTTTTTTTTTTTGCATAATGAGTGTTGTACTTTGTCAAAGGGTTTTTTTCTGTATTTATTGAGATAAATATTCTGTATGTACTAGATGTTTTTGTTTTTCATATGATAATGTTTTCCTATTGTTGAACTACTCTTGCCTCCCTGATATAAATCAAGCCTACCTATAAAAAACGCTCTGTTTGATTAAAACTGTTGGGAAAACTACAAAGTAGTCTGGCAGAAATTAGACTTAGCTCAACACCTTACATACACCACATTCCACAATACATTTTACAATATGATAACTTAATACTATTAAAAAAATTGAAAGAGAAGCAGATCATATACTTTTCACAGCTATGGGTATGTATTCTTAACCAAACAAGAGATAGAAGCAATTATAAAAGATAAAATAAATAACTTTGATTATATAATGAAGAAAAATCTTTGTATCAAATTTCTCTGATAAATGTTTCATATCTAAGATATATAAATAATTAATAATTATGTGTATAATATATAATATAATATAATATATAATATACATAATATACAATGTGTATAATAATTATGTGTGTATATATCTGTACGTGTGTATATATCTGTATGTGTGTGTATACATATATACACATATATAAAATAGCAATTTCCTAATAGGTAAATGGTCAAGGGATATGAATAAATAGTTCTCAAAAGAATTACAAAGTATTTACAACCTCAAGAAAGAATTCTCCAAATCACTAATAAGAGAAATGCTCATCAAAACAACACTAGAGATTAGCAAAGATGACAAAAAATGGCAATGCTCAATTCTGGAGTGGTGTGGGATGATAGGTACATTATTATATTGTTGAAGTTGTGAATTGGCACAACTATTTTGGAAAGCAACTTGGAATTATGACACTAAGGTGAATAAAATGTCCATATTCTTTAACCCACAGATTCCATTACTGGGCTTATAGCCAAGAGAGCCATTGATAAGAAGAAACGTCCCCATATACAACAGAATATTTATAGCACTTTTTGTGTAGCAAAGAATTGAAAACAAAGTAGATACCCATCAATTAGGAAATGATTAAACAAATTCTAATGCACAAATGTAATGGAATATTACTGTGCTGTAAGAAATGATGTATATGACGAATACAGGGAAACATGGAAAGATCTATATGAACTGATAAAGAGTAAAGTAAGGAGAGCCCCTAAAAACAATATATACAATGACTACAAGAAAGCAAATAGAACTACATACAAAAATTACATACAAAAATTAAAAATGAATGTAGCAAAATTATAAAGCTGTAACATAACTCAAAAGAAGAGATAAAGACGACAACCCTACCCTCCCCCCAACATGGAGGTGGGATGGCCAGAGGTATTATGCATTGTACATATTTTCAGACTTTTTCAATGTATCGATCAATTGTGCTTATTTTTTTCCTTTTCTCTCTTTCTCTCTCTCTCTCTTTCTCTCTCTCTCTCTCTCTCTCTCTCTCTCTCTCTCTCTCTCTCTCTCTTTAATATGGGATGGCTCTCTAGGAAGTGGGGGAGGGATACTGGGAAAAACTATGAAGACATTAAAAACAAAAGATCAATGAAATCTTTAGAAAAAAGAAATTCAGTGCTTCTGTGATCCTCACAGCAACCCTGTGAGGTAAGTGCTATTATCCCTATTTTAGAGAAGAGGAAATTGGGGCTTATAGAGTTTAAATACCTTGATGAAGGACAGAGAGGTATAATAAGTATATGTGTGTATGTGTACACACATTTATGTGTGTGTATATATATATATATATTATATATACACACACATTTATGTGTGTAGATATAATATATGTAATTCAAATTACACACATATGTATGTATATGATTTGAAAGTGAAATGCAGAGAAATATGGTACTTTAATGTTTACAAATCATTTTAGATACATTATCTCATTTCATCTTGAAAGATTATCCAATGGAAGAAGGGTTACCCTTGTTCTATTCGGTCCCAAGGGAAGTAATAGATAGAAATACCAAGAAGGCAAATTTCTTTTTGATGGAAAGAATAACTTCTAAACGGTTTGAGCTATATGGAAGTGTAGCAGACAGCCTCCAGAGATAGTGGGTTACCCGTTACTGGAGGACTTCAAGCAAAGAATTGTTTACCTTGAGATTGTTGAATTCTCTCTCTTTCTCTCTCTTTCTCTTTCTTTCTCTCTCTCTCTCTGTGTAGTAATATATTCATATATGTATATACAATCTGAAACTGAAATTTAGAGAAGGAAGGAAATGGATATTGCTTGTTTCATTTGGTAGGACACAAGGGGACATGAGAGAAGAGAATTCGTGCAAGAAAAAAGAAAATGTTTCACCATGAATAATTTCCTTAGGTTCTGATCCAGTTTCTAAAAATGAACTTGAATACTCCACACAAATGAAATCCTATAATTTATCATCAAGCCACTCATTTTGCTGCCCACAGTGTATTCATTTTCCATTCCAAAGTAACCAATCAGCTTATCTGAGTGGTTTCATTCCTTCGCTATATAATAGAGGAAATTTGGTTACCAGGGTTTACTGGGAAGGCTGCTATTGAGTAATCTTTTTGTCTGTAAGTTGAAAGCTTTACATACCTCTCCTTTCTGTTTTATTCTGTACTTCAGATCTGCTGATAGCCAGAGCAAATACTTGATTTCTTCTCCTGTAAAATCTTTTAGAGTTAAGAGATGACGTCCTTTCAACTGGACATTACTTTGGACTGATTTTCCACATCTGCGTGGGAAAAAAACAAAAGAAAGAATACTTAAAAAAAAAAAACCTTAGTGATTTACCCTTTGTTTAAAAAAAAACATAACAAATTAGAGTGACTGTCCCTTGATTTTGTGAAGTTAACATATTTAAATATAATTAGCAGAGCTATGGTTTAGAATTTGAATGATCCAATATTTCCTTTAGTTAAGTAAAGGAAGAATGGGAAGGAGAAAGCGAATAATTGTGCTGTTATTCGGGTAATGTCTTTTAGTTGGGAAAATGTGTTCCCTTGTTACATTGTAGCTCCCATTTGACAGTGATTTCTATTGCTTGTCAATAAAAATTAAGCATGATTAAGTGAAATCATATCTATTAAAAATTCATTTATTACTGTCACTCAAATAGTTGTCATAAAGGCTAATTATTAACCCCTGGGCCCAGTAAGAAGCACAGACTACCTCTACTGATGGCAAAGTCTTTGATTATGCTTATAAGAACTTGCTCTGCTTTCACCCAATACAGTAGAAATATGAAAAGTTCACTCACTTGTTTTGTCATTAAGAAGTAAGAATGCCATTTTGATGGATTTTATCACCATATTAACCAATTTTTTTACTAAATTATTGGTTGGTTCAAAAAATTGGTTGGTTCTTTGGTATTTGCCTCTTTTTGAATCCCCAGCACTTAAAACAATGCCTGGTACCTAGTGGCGCTTAATAAATGTTTATTGGTTGACTGAATATTTACAAAAATATAAATTGCCCAGATTAATACAACAGTTAAATAACTTTTTCTTAGAAAAAAAAACTTTAAAAAGCCATAAAAAATCTTCCTTAAAAAAAAAAAACCCTAGGAACAAATGGTTTTATGGACAAATTCTACCAAATATTTAAAAACAATGAATTCCAATACAACTATTTGGGGAAAAATAGATAAAGAAGGAGGTATATCAGACTCTTTCTATGACACAAATATGGTCCTGATACCTAAACCAGGGAGACTAAAAAAAAACTATAGATCAATTTCCCTAATGAATATTAAAACAAATATGTTCAATAAAATATTTGCAAGGAGATTACAGCAGTATATCACAAAGATCATACGCTATGAACAGTCTGAATTTATACCAGGAATGCAGGACTAGTTTAACATTGGGCAAATCCTTAGTATAATTCACCACATTGATAACAAAAACAACAAAAATAATATGATTATTTCAGTAGCTGCAGAAAAAGTTTTTGACAAAATATAACACTTTTATCTGTCAAAAACCCTAGAAAGCACAGAAATAAATGGACTTTTCTTTGAAATAATAAGTGGTATTTATTTAAAACCAAGAGGGAGCATTATCTATAATTGGGATAAACTAGAAGCCTTTCCAATAAGATCAGGGATTAAGCAAGGATATACATTATCACTATTACTATTCAATATCTAGCCATACAATAAGAAAAGAAATTAAAGAAGACAAAGAAGAAACAAAACTATCACTTTTTGCAGATGATATAAGCTTACTTAGAGAACCCAGAGAATCAACTAAAAAACTAATCAAAACAATTAAAAAATTCAGTAAAGTTGCTGTATATAAAATAAACCCACACATGTCATCAGCATTCTTGTATATTATCAACAAAACCCAGCAGGAAAAGATGGAGAAATTCCATTTAAAATAACTAGACAGTATAAAATACTTCTACCTGTCTAGACACACACAGGAACTATATAAACACAATAAAACATTCTTCACCTGAATAAAAACAGATTCACATAAATGGAGAGATATTAATTACTCATGAGTAGGCCAAGCCAATAATAAAAATGACCTAAATTAATTTACTTATTCAGTGCCATACTGATCAAAATGCTAAAGAATTACTTTATAGAGCTGTAGGAAGAAAAAGTCCAGCATATCAAGGGAATCAATGAAAAAAAAATGGGAAGGAAGGTGGCCTTGGAATATTGGATCTCAAAGACTACAAAGATTTTATTGTCAAAACAATTTGGAACTGAGTAAGAAATAGAGTGGTTGACCAGAGGAACAGATTAGGCATATAATATGCAGAAGTAAATGAGCACAATAATCTAGTGTTTGAGAAACCCAAAGATCCAAACTTTTGGGGCAAGAATTCACTATTTGATAAATACTGTTGTGAAAACTAAAAAGCAGACTAGCAGTTAGAAAAATATCTCATATCACGTAGCAAGATAAACACAAAATGGGTACATGATTTAGTCATAAAGGATAATGTCATTAGAAAATTGGTGGATCATGGAAGCAATTACCTGTCAGATCTATGGATAAGGGAAGAGTTCATGACCAAGCAAGAGACAGAGAGGTCCATAGAAAATAAAATGGATAATTTTGATTATATAAAATTGTAAAAGTTTTAGCACAAACAAAACCAATGCATGTGGGGGGTGGGGAGCAGGAAAGTGATTTAGGATAGAAGACCATTTATAAAACCTTTGGAACATAGTGGTAGGTTATGCACATAGTCTCATTAAGAGTGAAAAGTGGTGGAGGGAAAGAGACATTTACAGAAAGCTTGTCAAGGGACACATTTAAGTGAGAATATCACAAGAACATTTAAAAGATAAATGTGAAAGGAAGGCAGTCAACAAATGAAAAGTGGGAAAAAATCTAGAGTAAATTATTTTCTCCATCAAACACAATATAGATTCCACATTTAGACTCTAACATCACAGTCTCAAATGCACTGCATGGGGAAGTAGGTAGGTAGGTGGAAATAGATAGTTAGACAGACACACTGCTTACTATGTGCCAAGCACTGTGCTAAGTGCTGGGGATACAAATAGAAACAAGGAAGACATTTCCTACCCTCAAGGAGCTTACATTTTAATGAAGGAAGACAACACAGGAAGCTTTATGGGGTACATGCATGGCAGCATGTTTTAGAGATGATAGGAAGTGACATGAAGGTCTTTTTTTCCTGGAAATATAAGCCAAAAGTTTCCTTGTCAGAAAATGGGGAACCAGGGTTGAAGTTCAAGGTAGCAGTGGGAGGAGATGAGTGTGGACAAGGCAATAGTCCAGCAGTGGCATTAAAGGAAGGAAAGATGGGCATAGATACTAGAGTGATTTGCCATTTCCTTCTCCAGCTCATTTTACAGATGAGGAAACTGAGGCAAACAGGGTTAAGTGACTTGCCCAGGGTCACACAGTTAATAAGTGTTAAAGGACAGATTTGAACTCATGAAGATGAATCTTCCTGACTCTAGGCCAGCCACTCTATCCACTGTGCCATCTAGCTGCCCCTAAAGAACAGCAAGACTAAGCCAAATAACACAGAGTATTCATTTACCTCTGTGACCTTGGGCAAGTCTCTTTGGGCCTGTTTCCTCATCTGTAAAAAGAGAAGATTGGATTAGGTGGTCTCCAAAGTCCCTCCCTTTCAGGTCTAGATCTATGATCCTGTAAGGCTCAGACCCAGGTCTGTGATGGAGGTAACAGAATAAACATAAGGATGTTGAGGGAATCAATTCTCAAAATATCTGGAAGAGAAGCAAATACCAAATACTTGGGGGAAAATAATAAACAAGATCACCTTTAAGAAAAGTGATGAAGAAAAAATTAATAACTACTGACTCATATGCCTATTTTTATACTATAGAAAATAAAATAATCTACACATAAATATCAAAGTTGGGCAGATAGGTGGTGCAGTAGATAGAGCACTGAGCCTTAAGTCAGAAAGACTAATCTTCGTGAGTTCAAATCTGACTTCAGGCACTTACTAGCTATGTGACCCTGGGCAAATCACTTAACCCTGTTTGCCTCAATTTCCTCATCTGTAAAATGATCTGGAAAAAGCAAACCACTTCAGTATCCTTGCCAAGAAAACCCCAAAGGGGTCACAAAGAGTTAGACAAACTGAAAAATGACTGAACATCAACAACATATCAAAGTCAGCCTCAATAGCAGCATAAGGAAAAAAAAACCAAGTAGGCTTTCACAAACGATATTCCGTAGTAGATCATGTCTTTACAATCAAGTAATTGACTAAAAGAGTTGTGTTTATTGTTTATAAACTATTGTTGGCTTCTGTTGCTAGATCTTAGAGGGAAGGCTTTACAGAAAAGCCAGATGTTGGAAGCAATAGGCCCTTTAATTGGTCACATTGAAGAGAAAGGTGTGTGGCTTAACAGGACATGCAAGGGAACCCAGTAAAAGGCAGGAGAAGTAATGGAAGGGTGAATCCCCCAAGGACAGCATGCATCCCCAAAGCTGGGGTGGCAGTATGGCTGTCTCCAGAGAGCCTTGGACATGATGGCCTTCAGGCCATAACAGGAGGAGGAAGCCTGTGATGATCTTGAGAGAGGCTGCTCCCATGATTTTCCACATCATTATGTCAGGAATAATGGTGCTCCTGAATCTGCCTTCACTCATTGCGTCAGGTCAGCTTGTGGATCAGGGCAGCTCTGGGACAAAGGCACATCCATAAAACTGAAAAGTGGCAAGTACTTTTGTAAAGAGGTACATCTAACTGGTTTCCCACCTCTGATAGGGGTGGGGAAAAGGTGGGGGCATTTATCTAGGAATCTGGAAGTTTGTAGCTTAGATTTCAGACATAAAAGATCTCTGATACAGTGGGTTCTGAAAGGTAAAGGGCAGAATGGAGGGGACATTAGGAAGGAGAAGTGAGGTTGAAGGGATGGTGAGGGCAGGTCTACAGCACATATAGTCTGTCAGACAAAGACTAGGTCTGGAAAAAAAAAGGGTCATAGCGGGCGGAGCCAAGATGGTGGAGTGAAAGCAGTGACTTGCTTGAGTTCTCCCCCAAAGCCCTCCAAATACCTGTAAAAAATGGCTCTAAACAAATTCTAGAGCAGCAGAACCAACAAAAAGAAAGAATGAAACAAATTTCCAGCCCAAGACAACCTGGATAGTTGATTGGAAAGGTCTAGTTGATTGGAAAGGTCTATTGTGCTAGGCTGGGAGAGGAACACAGTTCAGCATGGGCCCTGCAGGCAAAGACCAGGCCTCCGCAAACCTGGAGCAG